AGTTACATATGTGGCTACGATCATCATTAGGTAACGTGAAAATCAAAATTCCGGTGATCAATGTCAGGGGAGTGTACCTTTAAAATCATATTATACGTACTGTATATACAGATATACATATGAATTTACATAGTGCTGGTATGTTTTTTTTTTCTTAAATTCGAGGGTAGGGTCATTACCGTTACCATTACACAATTAATGCGGTATTTTTAGATTAACCAAAAACAGAAATCATAATTTTAAAATGCATCCTTTTTGGTTCGCCGTACCGGTATCGGTACTCTTCGTCTGTAACACTTCTTTATTTGGCATTCATTAAATTATCATGCTGAATTACTAGTAGAATAATCGGAAAAGCTGCATATATTTTAATACGAAAATTCTAAACTTTATTTATGTATTCTCATAAATTATACAGGAGTTTAACGAATAGGTACGCTTAAAATTATTATGATTACAAACATGTAAGTGTGCACCCGCAGGTGCTAATCTTAGGCTGAGCACTTGCGATGGTCAAAAAAAAAAAAGAATCCTATTCTATATAATGGAAAAAAAGGTATCAAAAAATATATATAACACAAATTGAAATATTGCATGAATGCGTATTAATCACAATGTATATACATACGTACGTATTATTTACATAACTGATAAATATGCTTATATAATACGTATTAATTTCTTAACGTTAACCCTCTTTTCCAATTATATCAATACAGAAGCAATATGGTATTTTTTTTTTAGTATATATTCGTAATTTCTTGATTGATTTACTGAAATTTGTTACAAATAGTCAAATATCTACACGAATTAGCATTAACACATAGTATTTGGTTACATCCACACGGATAATACGTAATCAGTAAAAATTCAATCACATGAATAATTAAACATATACGCTCTATTATTAACACTTATAATTTTTTGACATTTAAATTCTTAAACAAATATAAATAACATTCACAAAGCACCAATCAATTAGAACCTGATGTAATCGAAGTAACTTTAGTGTAAAGATCATATCGTTTTTGTGAAGTTGTTGGAATAGATTGACGAGATGATTTCATCTCATCTAAATCTTTAAAAAAAAAATTTAATAATAATTGTTAGAACAATGAAATGATATCTTAACTTTGTTCCATAACAAGTAAAATTTGTTACCAATATCCGCGTAAACAATCGATTCTTCATGATCGGTAGTTGCAATCACAGTGCCACTGTGAATTTTTTTGACGAGGCATATTAAATAAGGAAACATAATAAATAATTTAGGTAAAACATATCTATATTTGAGCGCATGTAGGAAATAAGATTTACCTGGGGTTCACAACAGTTGAATGACCCCATGCGTTATAGGTTGCACTCATATCACGGGCAGGAGAACAGGTTGCCACGTAAAACTTTGAATAATTAAAAATTATTGCTTATGTGTCTCGGTCAATGAGCTCAAATTAGAAATTGGGTTTACCTGGTTATCAAGCGCCCTTGCCCTTTGTAAAACTAGTCATTTTTAAAATAATATTAAGCTTGTCGCTAATAAAAGATTACCTAACAAATGACCTTAAAAGTAATATTAAAAAAAAAGACAACCCACGTTCCCAATGTAAGGGACCTGTAGTCATGTTAAAAGCTCCCGGATAAAACATTGCAATACATCCTGCAAAACAATGATACAATACAAAGGAATATTACATTTATGCCTTTAAGAAACTAGATATATTAATAATTCATTTAACCTTCTTGAGCAGCAATCATGGCCATTTCTGGGAACCTTATGTCGTAACATATTCCTACTCCGATCTTACCAAATTCTAATACCAAAAAGAAAATCAAATAAAAAAAATTAAACGATTTAAACAGATTGCTCAAAAAAAACAAACCATTAAAATCAAATTATTAATTTAATGCAAGAAAAAAATACTAGTATCGAAATGTGTTAGAGAATTTCCAGCACTTAGAGAATCACTCTCTTTGAATGTTATTTTGCCAGGAATGTCAATATCGAATAAATGAACTTTTCGATGCTTTGCAATCATAGATCCTATAATTAAGAATAAAGTAGTGACATTAAATCTTTATAATGAATAATAAATACACTTATATAATATACAAACTTTAAGCTACCTTCCGGATCATAAACAGTACAAGTATTATACATTTTTCCAGTAGAGTCTTCACGTTCTGGAATGGATCCTTGAAAAAAAAAAATACAAAAAGATTAATTACGTTCAAATTGTTTATTCTTTCTCATAATTTATACCTCCAATAATGTAGGCCTTAGATTCCTAAAAATCATTAAAAGAGCCATATATATTAAGTATATTAAAATATAAAAAAAAAAGCAATTAAAAAAGATACATATTAGTTGCTTGCCTTAGCAGCTCCAGAAAGAACTTTCACACTCTCACCATTAGGAATATTTTCAGCATATTGAGCAAAATATTTAGTACCATATAATGAATTAAAACATTCCTATAAAATAGTTCATGAATTTATCATTCTTTTATCAATCTTCGCAAGGTTAGGAAGAAAAAAAATACCGGTAAACAAATTATCTTTGCTCCATTTTTCGAAGCTTCCAGAATTTTATTTTTAGCATTTATAAGATTTTTAGATTTATCGGATGAAACAGCTAATTGAATGCATGCAATTTTAAAGGACATTCTTGATTCTGAAAATTTTCGATTGGGATAATAAAAGTTTTTAAAAAAATTCCCTTTAATGGGAAAAGTTTTAGTAAGAGATCGTAATAAAATTAACCGATTTGACGAAATCATTCAAAGTATACGTAATAACGATAATGCGTTCGATCGGCTTATATGAATAATGGCAAATGAAAAACCTGCAATGCTAAATATAGAATTTTTTGATAACACATGATTAAAAGAACATATTCGAATCATTTGATTGGATCGATTAAAAGCCCACATTTCTTTATGTAAAGAATTCTATATTTAGAATTCCTGACAAAAATGTCCTGGCGTCACCAATCTAAAAAATTTCGTTATCTGGTCAACCCAAATTTCAAGATCAGGTGTAGCTTAAATATACACTTAAACCATAACTCTAACGTTGGTAGCAAAGTTTTTTAGGTTGATAACGCTAGGATGGTCGTACGGAACCGTTGTTACTATCGTAACTTTTCTGCGCCTGGTATTTAATTATT